GGGGTTGCCCCCCCCCTTATCTTCTACGATTTTTCTTTTTCATTGGCTCAACAATTGAACGAAAAATTAGAGATAGGTGCTCTAGGTAATGCTCTACCTTAAAAAAAAAACAAAAAAAAATAGGCCCCGACCCGGGGTATGGCGGCCCCCTTAACGCTGGTCGGACGGGCCCCGAGAGCCCAAACTTTCGGGGTTCGGTTGGAGGCCCCTCCCGTCCATTCAGCCCGGTAACCCTGCACACGTGAAAGTGCTAATAAAGAAGTCACGAGTTCAAGTCCTTGTAGAATTTTGTCTTTATTTAGATGAAAAAAAAATCATGAAAATACTAAAATAGAATAATAATGTAAATGAAGGTCAATGCACAGGCAGGAATGTCCCACCAACCCAGAACGGTTGTTCCTTTCACTTATTTGGATTTTTCTAAGCGGATTGACAAACGAAGGTGGGAGGTGGGGGCGGGGAGAGAGAGGGGGGGGGAGGGGGGGAGTGAGGGTAATCCACATAAACAGGAATTGTTCAGAACACCCTTTACATTTCCCCCTGCACCAGAATTCACAAAAAGTCAATTAAAAGAAAAAAAACATAAAATGAATTGTTCGGAACACCCTTTTTTTTTTTTTTTTTTTTTTTTTTTCAAAAGGAACACCGTTTGAATTGCAACTAATCTTCACAAAGCTATAAATATTAAATATTAAATAAATAAATGACCCACCTTTCAATTTTCAAAGGTACGCCTTTTCGGTAATTAAAAGGGATGTAAAAATGAAGTCCATGAGTGTGAAATCCCACTGCAGTTGTAACCCCAATAAAAATAGAGAATGAAAGACGAAAGGTGACCACAAAATGACTAAATAAATAAATAAATGCAACTTTCACAGTTGCCCCTTCCGAAAGGGAGAGGAGCAAAGAGAACCCCACAAGGTTTTTTTTTTTTTTTTTTTTTTTTTGAAAAGTTGTCGCTTTATATTTCAAAACAAAAGTGGTCGAGGCCGGGGACCTCACAATTCTACCCGGTGTTGACGAGGAAAACCTGCTGGAAACCGGGTCCAGCGTCCCAGGACCACACAGCCTCGATACGAAAAGAACTCCTCAAAATAGCCTTGAAGCACAGAAAAAGGTGGCTGAACTAATCATAACAAAGCTCTCCAATCCTTCAGCCTATAACGTGATAACGTGATATATCCTTGCAGCGCAGAAGAAGAAGTACAACGCCGGCATGTTTTTAAAATCGAAACACCATTGGCAAAAAACTACGAAATATAATCTGCAAATCTCGAAAATGTGCAAGGCAATTCACGAGGATTTTACAGTTTTAACCCTAAAATTATTCCAAAGGCAAACTAAATTATCCCAAATTTCGAACCAAGCACGTACAAACTTCGAACTAGACGAAGTAGTATTGAGTATTGTCTCCAGAGAATGAACGATTAAAAAACAGCCAATCCAAATTCCACGATTTATCAAATCACGAAAAAGAATCTCGATTACTAAAGCTGGGAAGGAGAAATAGTCGTTACGGTTACCCTCTCAGCCTCACTATCCAAAACGCTGTAAAGAGCCTTAAAGTTTGTTGCCTAGGCGGGTTTCCCACCACCCACCCAATGGATACAACTCTAGTTTGCTCTTCACCGGGTCTCTCATATCAGCCCTACCCTGTGAGAATCATCCAAAACATATCCCAGCACTTAAGAGTATCGAGAATCTATGAAGTATTTAACCCATCGCCCCGGGGAAACGTTCCCACCGCCGCTAGTGAGTCTCCCACTCCCGCTGTCAGCGCCGCCAACCATAAGGTTTCAGGTCATTAAAACAATCCAAATTCCGAAGATAACAAAATATCAAACTTACAACCCACCAACTTCCGAAGATCTACAAGATATCAAACTAGAAGGGCAATCTTCAAAACGGAGTTGGGAGAGGAATAAACATTAGGGTTACCCTCTCAACCTCACTATCCCAAACGCTGTAAAGAGCCTTTGTTGCCGAGACGGGTTTCCCACCACGTACCCAATGGATATCTAGTTTGCTGTTCACCGGGTCTCTCATACCATCCAACCCTGTGAGTAACACCCTAAACCAATACAAAGGTACCCCAGTCGCTTAAACCACCAGTACTTCCTAAAGTCGCGTAGCGTTAACGCTACGCAATTTTAGGAAACGTACGGGCCACTACAGGAGCGCCCAAATTCATCCAACTAGAAACGTTTCTATTTTTTTCCGCGGCCGATAGCTGGGCCAAGTACTGGTGGTTTAAGAGTATCGAGACTCTGTGAATCTCAAGCATGAAAACACCAATACCACTACAAGCGATAAACAAGAACACCACCCAACTAACTTGAACGATAAAAAACGGACGAAACCCTTCAAACTAAGGTGTGAGCAAAAAAAACCAGGATGGCTATAGGTCGAGCGTGGAACACTCCCCACACCACTCCAGGCGTAGGTGACCTTGCATCACTGTTTCCTGCGCTTGAATCACCACATCGCCAACAGCAGAAGTGGTCCCGAGACAGAGCTACAAACTAAGGCCATCAAACACACGAGGGAAAGCGCTGTGCAGATGTTCCAACAGATATCTCAATCATTCGAAGGCCTTCAAACTACACCATAGCCCGGGAACGGAAACTAAACAAACTACAAAGAGCAACAATGACAACCAATTTAAGTGAATAAGACCAAACATAGAGTGTATGAACCTCAGACTGCCTTCCATAGATAGGTCGACTGAGACTTGCTATAGCCCTTGGACATGCCGAAGCGCTGCCACCGCAGCCGCACGCTCTCCCACTGCGTCCAGATGCGCCGCTCCGCCATCCATGCTTTCTGAATGACCGAGGCGAACAAAATGACGTGTCCTGAATGTCCAGCGCCCGGCCTTTGGATGTTGAAAACGGAGCCCCCCCTTTCCAGCAAAAGGCTTGAGGGGAGGACGGCTCCTCTGGTGTCTAGCTCCTGTTAGGTATAAAGGTTGGTATAGATGTCAGGTGTAGAGTATGGAGCTGCCAGGATGCCATGGCGTAAGAGTGCAAGGCACTCCCTCCCCACTCAATGGCAAGGCTACGCCAGGGCACTGTCGCCATAGCTCTCACACAGCTATGGTGCCTGACAGGGTAGACGCCACATGAAGGATCAGTCTCGACGTTACAACCTACACAGCCACCCCTCCGACGACCGGGCGCCGCCACCGCCGCTGCGTTAGCGCACATTTCGCGCGGCCCTCCTCAAAAAAGTTCACGAGCACCCGGGCCTGTGTTTTTTACGACACTTTGTAAAGCAAAAAGCGAGCCGACAGTGACACTTGATTTGTGCAGCCTGTTTTTTGCTTTACCAAGTGTAGCAGCCGCTGTCCCTTATTGGGAAGGGGAAAAAAAAAAAAAAAAAAAAAAAAAAGTCCTGATCTGTAACTCAGAAGACCTCATAGACGATCATTTGAAGGTTAAGTCCGATATCAAGGTTGTATACGCTGTATCTCCCCAAAAAAGCGACACAGGATGTCTGACAGCTTCACCTACCAACCCTCCAAGTACTCTGTTCAACTGAAAACGGGCCTACTGAACCCCCCTCCCTAAACCACGACTGCAAAGGGTTAATGAACATACGGATCCTACTGAACAGGGGTTAATGAACCTACGGATCCTACTGAACAGGGGTTGATTAACCTACGGATTCTACTGAACCTGTCTCTTATACACATCTAGATCTACTGAACAGGGGTTGATTAACCTACGGATTCTACTGAACAGGGGTTGATTAACCTACGGATTCTACTGAACAGGGGTTGATTAACCTACGGATCCTACTGAACAGGGGTTAATTAACCTACGCATCCTACTGAACAGGGTTTAATGAACCTACGGATCCTACTGAACAGGGGTTAATGAACCTACGAATCCTACTGAAGGCAGGCCTACTGAACCCCTCCCTCCCTACACGACTCTATTGCAAAGGGTTTAATGAACCTGCTCGGGTCTGTAGGGAGGGGTTGGTTCACCAGGCCCGCTTTCAGAAGGATCATTTAGTACTGAGCCCCCCCCTAAAAGTTCCCCCGTGCGTAATTTCCACGGCCCCCTCAGTAATTTCCACGGGCCCGTCGGTAATTTCCACGGGCCCGCCCGTAATTTCCACGGGCTGTGTACTGGTGGTTTAACCCTCTTGAGTTAAGTAATGGCAAGCAGTTAAAGGCAGATATTCCCGTAGCCAGTTGTCACTGACAAAAACCTGACAGGTAAAAAGCCTAACGCAGCCTCAGGTACCAATCCAACTACTCTGCTGTTAAACTGAAGGAGGGCATTAGTCACACAGGTACTGTATCCACTAAGTTCTGGACGAAATTGCTGTCAGATACATCCAGGATGGGTCCTAAATTGCGGTCAATACATCCAGGAACGTCCTACCCAGGTAGTGTGAGTATACCCTGAAAATTGGCCTCTTTCAACCCCCCTGCTCAAAGATCATCGAACGAGTGAGTTATCGTAAGGGTTTAAAGTTTAAACGGTGTTAAATTAAATAATGTCAACCAGCCAAAAGGCCTATTTCGGTGACATCCGTCAAAAAACTTGGAGGAACGATACAGAGTAGATTAGCATGGCCCCTTCGAATGGATGACACCCCACCCACAAAAAAACAGGCCTATTCCATTGGTGAGCAAACCGAGAGGCACATTCCCAACAAATTAAAAAACAACAACAACAACAACAACAACAACAACGAGGGCCACAGTTGTGGAAGTTTTTGCCTTATTGAAAATACATGTCCAGCGCCGGTGAGAAAACCTCGTAAATGACTGTCAGAGGTTTTCTGTCACGGTACAAGATGTAGTGCCTCGCCCAAAACGGTCCTTGGGCGTGAAACGCCCTCTCGAGCTCTGCGGATGCGCCAGCCGAGTAGACTCGCCTCAGCTCCCTGTAGGTCTCCGTCCTACAAAGCGCCAGATTTGTCCAAATTCCTCTGTCTGTCTTGGGCAAGTACTGGTCAACGGACTCCGTTGACCACCAAGACACTGCATAGACCAGCTTCTCCCCCCCTTCCACAGTCGCCAGGAATGAATGCCGCTCCAACCTCGGGCCCGCTATCAGTTCCACGTCCTTAAGAAATTGGTCAGGAAGGCCACATGTACTCTTCATCGCTTGCATTCGAAAGCAATCGATCGAGATCGGCATTCCAGTCAACAGCTCCAGATAACGGGTCAACGACCCGTCATTCATAAGGAGGAGCCGCCATGCCAATGACCACTGAAACACTCCTGACGACGACGACGACGACAAAGAAGAAGAAGAAGAAGAAGAAGAAGAAGAAGAAGAATGAAGAGGAGGAGAAGAAGAAGAAGGAAGAGGAGGGGAATAAGCAGTTGCGCAAAGGCCGAAGATAGAGGTTCCCTCCTCAGGGATTTCCCAGATAGTGCTGAGGGGTACGGATAAGTAGGAGGGACGATCACCCACTGCCATCTCAACCCCTTCGTCCTTCTCCTCCTCCTCCTCCTCCTCCTCCTGCTGCTGCTGCTGATGATGATGATGCTGGCGACACCCATTTTCCTCATTCTGCTGCTGCTCGAGCTTCTCCCCCTCTGTCTCTTTCCTGGCCATCGTCATCTCGCGGAGATCTTTGCTACAAGTGCACCTGTCTGCTGCTGTGAGTGCTTCCTTTCCATGAACAACCTTGAGACTACTGCACTCCAGACTCTTGTTTCCATCCTGATCCCTCTCGTCACGGCCACCATAACTAGCAGCTGCATCAAAGGCGGATACATACTCCACAGCAGCACTGGCAACACCAGCAGCAGCAGCAGCAGAAGAAGAAGAAGAAGAAGAAGATGAACAACAACAACAACAACAATAATAATAATAAGAAGAAGAAGAAGGGATCACCTCAGCAACAGCTCCATCACTGAAGCCATCATTATACATAGGGGGCGATACTATCCTCGGTTCCAGTGAATTGGGGGTGACAAGAGGAGAAGAGACACAATTGTTGGGTGGATGGATAGCAACATGCTCGGCAGACAGAAAGCATTCTTGCTCCTGCAAATCTCTTCCTCCCCCTCCCCCTTCCCCTCCCCCTCCTTTATTTTCTGAGACTTTGGTGGTCCTAGTGCTTTGATTCGTAACGCTTCCGCAAGCCTGCGTGCCCACGCCATGCCCGCTATGCAGTCGATCATCAACAGGCATGAGAGAGAGAATGACCACCATATCCAACCTCTGCATTAGAAGCTCACCAGAATCGTTGAAGCATCTGAACCAGTCACGCTGGCAAAGACGGAGAAGCAGAGCCAGCAATGATAGTGACGACGACGACAATGAAGAAGACGAAGAAGAAGACAAAGCAGAAAACAAAGAAGAAGAAGAAGAAGAAGAAGAAGAAGAAGAAGAAGAAGAAAACAAAGAAGAAGAAGAAGAAGAAGAAGAAAACAAAGAAGAAGAAGAAGAAGAAGAAGAAGAAGAAGAAGAAGAAAACAAAGAAGAAGAAGAAGAAGAAGAAGAAGAAGAAGACACTGACCAGAAGTTGATGAAGTACAGTCCAGACCTCTTTCTTCTTGATTCTCTAGAAGTGGGAGTTCTGGCAATACAAGGACCAGGTACGGCGAACTTGACCCTTGGTGCAGCAGTACCAGTAGCACATACTATTGCATGTCCCGCCCATAACTCGATATGCGATGTCATCATCATCATCATCATTGCAGCGGTCATTGTTACCTTTGATCTTCCCCGACGACCTGTTATCCAATCTATCAATCTTTTATGAGATTACGATCTCATCTAATGTCACGGAGATGTGCTCTCATGTGATGTCATGGACATGGGGAGGAGAAAGAGGGGCAACAAACCCCTCATATCCGAACATATCCGAACATATGCTCTCATGTTATATATCATGGAACACACATGCTCTCATGTGATGTCATGGAGATGTCCTCCTATCTGATGTCCCGGGCACTATGCACAGAGCACCATATTGGTCGCAACAGACCCTGCAGACACATCACAAAGTGAAGCCTGGAGAAAGCAAGGAGACGATGCAAACACGGGCAAACAAACATCAAAACCAAAAACCACAAGACGATAAATAGTATGGGTAATTAAGAGTCGTTTAATCACCTCCCCCCCCCCCCCCCTAGTCGATGGCGAAAGAGAGAGAAGGGAAGGGGGGCAGAGGGGGGGAAGAGGGGGGGAAGGGTAGGGGGGGGGGAGAGGGGGGCAAGAAAGGGAAATCGATAGATCACTGCGTTTCCTTTGGGGAGGCATAAAGAGGAGGAGAAAGAGACAACAGGACAAGGAGAAAAAGAGTAAGGAGAGACAGAGAGAGAGGGAGGGAGAGAGAGTACGAGAGGAAGAAAAGGAGGGGGAAGACAGGGAGAGGGAGGAGAGAGAGGGAGAAAAGATATTCACAAGGGGAGGACGGAGCGGGGCGGGGGTGCGCAGCCAGGCAGGGGGCGGGCGGGGAAGAAGAAGGGAACGGGATCAGTCAGAAGGGGAGGCGAGTGAACGACAGGGGCCATCATGTCTTTCTCCCTTAACGATTTCAAGCAGGAACAGAAATCAAATTTTATGCTTTCGAATACATTAAAAAAATTCTCCCTTAAAAAAAAAAAAAAAAAAAAAAAAAA